TTCGAAAAATGACATACCCCATGGAGTCCTGGATCGATACACGATTCCAATTTATATGGTATTCTTAGTCTGAAGAAGAACCGAGCTTAGTCCGTTAGATGGCCTTAAATTAAAGAATATTTTACGCGTTGTCTTCCCGTTTATATATTTAATTATTTAGTAATGATTATTAATCTAGTTTTCAAGCTTATAGACTGACTTCTTTCCCTCTGTGCTCCGAGGATAGGTTCCGGGCGTTCGTATTTCAATTTTTCAGAGCGTTCTTTAAAGCTGACTGTTCTGAATATGTGATTGTTCGTTACTCGGCGATACAACTCGGATTGTATGATGTTGCGCAAGTAGTGTTGCTGGAAACAGTTCCTTTAATGTTCTAGGCGTTTTAGACTGAACCTGTTTCGAGGCTATACAGAGAGAACCGCCGCTTTTATGATGGTGAAATTTGTTTTTATCAAACTCCAAGGAGAATCTTACCATACTCCATGCGAAAGTCCGGTTAATGTACGAGTCAGAGCATTCATCGTTCGTTATTTCTGAACCCCAGTACTTCAACCATCAAACTCCCTCCACCGTTTTACAATTCAATTTGATCTGCCATGAGCAAATGCATTACGACCGGTACCCTTATCACTATTGTTTTTGTCCGGGTAACTATTAGCCCAGTTTCTTTAGCCATACTGTACACAGACAATTATGATTTTCAGGCAACACCGGAGTCGTTCACCAGAACAATGTCGTTCGCATACTCCAAATCGGTCAGGAAAGCCACTGGAGACCTGAAAGTCTTCTGGCCAGATAGTAAAGCCTTCTGTCTTGCTTCGAATGACATCGATCTGCATGGTGTAGTCAATCACGATATTGAACAATAGTGGCGGAAGAACTTCACCTTGACTAATACTGGATGAGATGTTGAATACTCTGATGAACCGCCTTCGTTCTTGACAACACACGATGTTCCTTCGTAAACTCCTTCCATCAGTCCTGCTGATGTGTTCAGCTACTCATTCCGTACTGAAGGATGAATCGCCATATAGTGTGGCGACAGAAGGAATCAAAGGGAGCGCTTTGGGGAGAAGTTGAAAAATGTCCAATGTCAGGGAAGCTGAAACTTCTGGAATTGATCGATGTCCATTCACCGTAGCACAAAGATGTTATCCGTGCAAGAACAACAACGCCCGAATCCCTTTTGAGTAAGACGTACAGAGCAACCTACCTAAAGAACACTTGTTGGAAAAACCATAGTCGTTCATCCACATGTCACTCGAAGACAACTCATAAAACTCGAACGCTGCAAAATCGCTATTTGTTCCACTGGCAGCATTTTTGTTTCTTTCTACACAAGAATAACAAACTCGCAATCCAGTCTGAGTAAGATGTACAAAGCAACCTACCTAAGAACGCTTGCTTGCAAGACGATACTCGCCTATCCACATGACATTTGAAGACAGCTCATAAAACTCGAACGCTGCAAGTTCGCTATTTTTTCCGCTGGCAAATTTTTTGCCTCCCTTTATGCGAGCTAATTTTAGCAACTTTGCTTTAAATAACATCTGCGATGCACTTTCACAAATAACAGCGTTCTCTACATGACAGACGTTGTCACATGTGCGGCATCTAGTGCCAACGGATGAGTAATGAGGAACCTCAAGATGAGTGGATGAGGCCTGCGATTTGCTCGAGGCGCGTGACCATCATAATGACGACGTGCTGAGAATGCCGCAGGCCTTCGAGTTTACTACCAGACGAGTGGTAAGGGAGAAATTAGGATATTTCACAGTAAATTTCATTTATCGAGATA